TGTTGTTCCAAACCCTCATGATGACACAAAAATAGAAATTAATGCATGTACTATTGCTCTTTTCCATACAATTATAAATGAATAGGGACTGGAGCTTTCAGACTTCAGAAAGCAATCAAAAGCTCTATAAAAGTGGTCCATACGATTTGTGTTCCATAAGTCTTCTGAAGCCATAATGATAGCTTTGTGTGAGAAACCATGCATAATTTGCACAATATTAAAAATTCATGCTTTTCACAGGTTTGGGAAAACATGAGGGTGAGTAGCATAATTTTCATATTTGGATGAACTGTTCATTTAAGGAAACTCTTATTGAAAGTCTTGGTCTTTATTTAAATAACTTGAATAGTGAAGCAGAAAAGTAAGATGAATATAAGCCCGTATTATTTGGCTTGAAATGTAATAAAATTATAGCTGATAAGAAAGTGATTCATCCTTTCAATTGTGAACATGTTCAAATGTCAAGAAGCAAATGTCTCTCCAGTCATTTCAGAATCTGCAGCCTACGCACTCGCTCCCCTGGACATTTAATAACAACGTTAACGTGCTTATTCTAGCACTTTCTTTCTTTTGCAGCCGTTACATAAAGTCGTTTCCTGGTGTTTTTCTTGAGGCTGAATGAAATAAATTAGAGCTGGGCAGTGTGTATATACCGATGATAGAAATGACTCCCAACAGGTCAAAGCATTCTCATAGGACACTCTGACACAAGAATGAACCCTCTACTTCTGCCTCAGGGTCAGTGGTCAGAGTCTGCACAACAGACCATCAGGTGAGACAGTCAGGGGTTTGAAGGAGTTAAATGAGGACCGCAGAGGCTTCGAGCCCAGCGCTGATCAGCACTCAGTGATGCAGGAGGAGGAGGAAGAGGAAGGAGGAGCGAGCAGAGCAGCTGAGCCTTTCTGCTTTCAGTCTCTCGTCAGCGTGTGCCAGAGCAGTCTCCTTTGCTGTGCTTCTCTGAGAAACACACACCAGAACACTCTTCATTGCTGGTTGGGGGAGAGTGTTGAATCCTTTCCTCTTTGCCTGGATCATGTTGCCCTGGAAAAGGAGTAAGTTTGTGCTGGTGGAGAACGAGTCCAAAAGCAAGCCGAAAAGTCTTGGAGCCGGACTGACTTATCATTCCCTGCTTTCGACTTTGCTCCACTCCTGTCCGGACCTTGTTCCCGACTGCCCGTTTCAATGGCTGGGGAGCGTTTTCCACAGCAAACGCCAGAAAGTGGAGCTCAACAAAGAGGAACCCACCTACAACGTGCGCTACCTGGGCAGCGCAGTCACCATCATGGCTAAAGGCGAGGATTGCATGCAGGAGGCGGTGGCTAAGATTTGGACTCGCAGCAACTACGGCGAACAGAGCGCCAAGATGAAGCTCAGCGTCGGGCCACACGGAATTCGCATGGGGGTGGATAAAGGTGGCAAAAAGAAGCCCGTCCACCTTTATTCCCTCAACCGTATCACATACTGCAGTGCTGACCCCTTCCGGCCAAAGATCTTTGCGTGGATTTACAGGCATCAGGTGAAGAATAAAGCGGTGGTTCTACG